AGAAAGTTAGTACTAGAAAAACCCCATTATCTCATTTAACCTCTTCATCTTTTAGCCTGTTAACACTGCTGTTATGTGCTCAGTGTTGTACTAAGTTTGGTCCCAATTTTAGAAATTTTTTCAGCTAAGGGTAGGCATTCCACCAAGCTGAGCAGAAGAGGCCACTATAACTGCATTCAGCAGGACTTTTTAGATCTTTAAACTGTTTTTTAAAACTTATTCTAAGTGATAAACATAATAAATGCCTGTCAACATATACATTCTTCTAATAAAAAGTATACTTTTTATTTCTACTATGGTGGGACCTGGTTACCTGATACCAAGATTGGTGGGATAGAATACATAATAGGTTAAGATTCACTGTCCCAGAGGAGTTTATTAGCTTAAGGTGTGAGGCAGAGTGTACACCAACTTATTCACGAGGTATACACTGGTACTGCAACAAAAAATAAGAGTAGAAGTATTGTTCCATTAATGTGATTTTATCTCATGCTCAGTCATCTTTTCTCTCTTTTTAAACCAGCATAGTAAAGGTTTAAAATTAAGTGAAATGATAATATTGGATGTTTAAAGGCTCTCAGGGAAAGAGATAAGAAAATAAAAAAACACGTAAGATCTTTCCTAGGAAAGTTATAGAAACTGTGCAGACCAGAGGTCACAAACTCAAATGCCAGCAGGGCCAGGCATGACAATGAAAATAAAGGAAGTGAGCCAGGTGTAAGGGAAACAGTGAATGGTAACCTGGAGAGGCATGTCATGTCCCATCCAGAGGGGCAGCTGGTCCTCATCTCTAGACAACCTATGCCATGCCCATGGGCCCAGGGTTGCAAAGCTGTGTAAATTTTCAAGAGAAGGAAGATATTCTGATTTTTATGATTTCTAAATGTCAGTCCAAACAAAATACCTCTGTGGGCTGATTTGAAGCAACCTCTGATATAGATGCTTGACATGGATTGATGTGGGGATCCGCCTCTCATGGTTACAAAACAAACAAATGAGTTTGGCCAGACCTTGCTGTCAGTGGTTGCACGAACCCTCATAGGATTTTGATTTTTAAATGCACCTCTCCATTAGTGACGGCGAGTGAAATGTCTGGCTTTGCAAATTACTGCTGTCATTTAGTTTAATGTACTCCTGTTTTTACATATTTATAAAAACCTTTTACATTATTAATAGTGATTAAATGCTTAGACACTGAAGATCAATAATGCTTCTGTTCACCTATTTACATTATTAAAAAGTAATAAGTCATACAGGGCATGTAGAATATGTGGTTTACTTTGTAGTCATGTTTGGAGTAGATTGAAGAAAAGAAAGGAACTCAGGCTACAAGGTAAATTGTATTTAGGAAAAAAAATGGTAAGAAGTCAGTTGCATTTGCCCAAGGTCTTCATTGTGGGTAGGCTGCACATTCACACTGTTATAACATCATGGGGCACAGAAGTACATATTCATGTGCCCTCTCATGACAGTACAGGCAAACTCAGAACAAGAAAGTCTAGTCTCCCTTGGATGCACAAGGATGAATAGTTATTTAACCTTTGTATGTCCTTGCAACACTTAGTCACCTGTATGCCACCATCTTTAGCTTCAAAGGCTTCTGATGGTGGCAACACTCAGCAGCAAGTCAGCTGTATGGGTCACATTTTGCCAGTAGGCAAATGAGCCCCTTAGCAATGTTTTCTTCACCTGCCTACCCAGCTATCTCTCAATTATGCAGCAAAAGCAAAAACACAAAGTGGTTCACCTGATTATGGCATATAAGTGTCCTAGATCTCTCTGAGGAGAGCAACTCCACAGTCAGTGAGTACAAGAGTCCTAAGTCTTTTTTAGGGTTAGCTAGCCCAGCTTTCCAAGTAGCCAAAGGAGCTCAGCGTAGTGGTCTAGAGATCAGGCTCTCAGCACCAGTCTGCCTGGGTTCAAATCCTATCTCTGACACCCACTGGTTGTGACCTTGGGTAAGTCACCTACTTGACATCTCAGTTCTTGTTTCTTCACCTGAAAAGTGGAGATAGTAATAGTACCCGCCATATAGGGTTTTTGTGAGGATTAAATGAGATAACACATGTAAAAGCTTAGTACAAAACCTGATACATAACAAGCACTCAAGAACAATTTACATGTACCAAAAGGCCCATTTCATGAGTCATGCAATTGCGTTCTTTTACGAAGAAGTTCATTAACACTGATTTGAAGTTTGTAAATGACATCATTGAAATATATTAAATTGAACTGGATTTTTAAAAATCACTTGGTTTCTAAGTTTTTCGTGTTGACCCAGATACCATTTATCTAGTATAAATTTGGTCTATGTCATCAGGCTTATTTAAGGACATGTTGAAATGGGGCAGCTATGGTGTAATGGAAAGGTTACAGGAGTTGCTACAATGCAAACTTGCTGGCTGTGTGATTTGGGGTAAACTATGTAATCTCTCTGAACCTCAGTTTCCTCACATAGAAAATGCACTTAATACAAGTATCTACTTTACAGGGATACTGTGAGGATAAAATGAAACAACATATGTTTTGAGTGCTTTGTAAGCTAAAAAGTACTATGTAGATGTAAGAGATTATAGCTATTATTATTTATATATATGTGATCAGAGGTGGAGTTATCTTGCTCAAATATACCCCAAGTAAAAATGCATGTGTTGATTTATTGAGAGGAAATATAGTTAGATTGCTTGTCCTCAGCTACTTTGCTTGGCAAAGGCCTGCACCTTTTCTGACAGAATGCATATATCTGTAATAGCCGAGACAACTGGATGAAGGAGACCCATCGTTCTGAATTTAAATGGGACTTGCAGAGCCAAATGATAACTTGGAGCGTTTTACAAAAGAATGAGGAAAACTCAATCAAACCAGGAGGAGGAGAAGGGCATTAACCACAACAAGTAATATTTTTGTTCACTCTGTGAGTGGCTGGCGAGCACTGCTGAAGCATGAAGCTGAACCGCAGGGGTTTAAGTTTGTCCTGACTTTTCTAAGTTTATTGCTCAAATGCTCTGCTCTGGGTCACAATGACTTGTCTCTTGTCTCTCTCAGGTCCTGACTTTCTCCCCTCACTTGAGTTCAGTGAGTCATTTAACACATCTCCATGTCACGGAGGTTGTTATTTCTTTTACTTTTTTTTTTTTTTTTTTTTGTGAATACCACTGGCAGAGAATACTTTTTGTTTTTTTAGACTGACTTCTCTCTAAGCATGGAGAAAGCTAGAGTTGATGACTTACTTCTACATTAAATAAAATAAATGAAATAATAGCTGTTTTTTTTGTTCTTTTTGCTCCTCTGGTATATAGTAAATAAGTCTTGACTATCTAAATAATTACTTTGACTACACCCCATCCAAATAATTACTTTGACTACACCCTACACTCAGTCACCCCTGAGTTTGTAATTGAGCTGAGAGAAACACTTCAAAATGGGGATAACTAAATCTCTTGGAAGAAGGCAAACTTGGACTAGATCCCCTGGCAGAAAAGCCCTTTCTTGTGATGCATTGGCATTTTGGGTTTTGGGTTCTGTCAGGGACATAAAATGTCAGAATTATACAATAATAAAAATATTGAAAAAGTTTCAGTAACAATTCTGAAGGGAAGGGAGTTGAATATTTGAGATTTCTATGCATATCTTTTTTCCCCTTTTTCTATTGTGTATAGGTCAAGATAGAGTTGGAATTTTCTTAGATTGTCACCAATATCAATATAAATTCTTGACCAAGTTATTTTTGGGGACTGCTAACTCCCACCAGGCTGCAACTGAGTGAATGGGATATAGACAGGAGATCCTAGACAAATAGTTTCCATGTGTTTTTTTTTTTAATTCCTATTTGCAATAGTGTAGGAAGACAGTGAAATATCAGCTTGTGGAATGAACACAGGAGGACACTTTTGGGCCTGGAAACGTTGACTTTAGTGACTTACTTACATCTAGTGCTAATTAGTAAAATACATCACTGCTGAAGATGAAGCAGAGAACACCAATGAGCAAATTCATGTTATTACATTTCATATAAGTTGATTTTTTTTAATTTAATTTTTTTTGGTTTTAATTATTATGAGTACATAATAGTTCTATATCTTTATAGGGTACATGTGATGTTTTGATACAGGTGTACAATGTAAATTAATCAAATCAGGGTAATTGGGGTAACTATCAACTCAGGCATTTATCATTTCTTTGTGTTAGGACATTCATTCCAATTCCACTCTTTTAGTTATTTTAAAGTATACCCTAACTTATTGTTGATTATAACTACTTTGCTGTGCCATCAAATATTGTTTGTCTAACTATGTAACTGGAGAACATTATGTTAAGTGAAATAATCCAAGCACGGAAAGATAAATCTCATGTATTCTCACTTATATGTGGAAGCTAAATATTAAAAACAATTGATCTCATGGAGACAGAGAGCAGGATGATGGTTACCAGAGGTTGGCAAGGGTAGTGGGGATGGGGGATAAAGTGGGGATGGATACAAAAATGTAGTAAGTTGATTTTTAAAAATTACTTTGCCTAGTGGGTTGGGCTTTGGTTTCAGGTCCTTAGTGACAATTCATGCATTTGAACTTTCTTAGAAGACAGATTTTTCACAAGTCTTGCATATCACATTAGGATGTCAAATTCATCCAACTCTTTCATATGGAAACATTTTTCATCATGGAATAAAACCTAAAATTTAGCTTTGGAAATTTAAGAATTTTTCAAGGAATCAACTCAGAAGTTAAATAATAAATTTAAAAATTATACTTCCCTCCTGTTTTTGTCATTATAGACTCCCCACATAAACACATAACTTTTATGATACAGAAGCTATAGAAATGAGTTTTTCCCTTAATTAATTGGTAAGGGCTTAGGCATTTCAGAGAGGTCCTAAAAAAGAAATCAGTGTGGATTGTGTGGAATAAGAAGTAATCTGATCTTTAAAAGATATCTTCCTTTCACAGTTAAGGAAAAACATGACCACTGTTCATTAAGGAATAAAATAAACACACACATACCTGCTGTCGAATGAGATCTCTGGAGGAATGACATGAGTACTGTCCTTGCCAATGAGGAATTTGATTCGATCATAGAAGAGTCTTGAAGTGTGCTGAGAGAGGAGGGGTTGGCTTTGCTGAATGAGGTCAAGAGGATCTGGTGAGCCCTGACAGAGAGGACTCACATAACAGTTGCTTTGTTGACAACAGTCAGGGTCCACACAGTCAGTCAGACCATCTGTAAAAAAACCCCAAAACCAATATTGCTATTTAGCTTCAAATGAAACAACATAGTTTAAAATATGCATAAGTGAAGAAAAATCTAGACTCTAGCTAAAGATAATCGACCATATTTTGAGTTTAGAATTTGTTAAATTCTCATGTTTTTCATGAATTATCACTCACTCTGAGTTCATATGGCACCTCAGAGAAATTCAAACTACTTTGTTCATAAATCTTTCTTTCCTGAATTCTCCATCATTTATCAACTGGAGAATAGAGTTTATACAGTTATAGTTTAGATACTGGGTATTCTGTTATGTATTACTCTTTAGAAGGTGCCTTCCTCCTAAGTGAGAACATTCCTTCAGAATAGCAATGATTTCTTATAATTCTTTTGAATTCCTCAACATATGAGCACACAATTAACAAGTACTTGCCACTTGAATTTGTATTTTTAAAAAATCTGCCCAATATTGTTGTCTACTGGTAATCCTCAAAATAAAGGTTAGGATTCTTATGGTGACAAACATATCTAGGGCAGTGATTTTCAAATGTGTAGTCAATTACTTGGGGAACCTATGAAATATGCATATTCTTGAGCTCCACCTACTGAGTCAGAATTTCTACATAGCCCAGGATTATGTATATTTAATCTGCATGATTATGTGTGATTCTGATGCACACTAAAATTGCAGAACCACATTTCCACTTTCTTAGGAATTTGTAGAAGCAACTAAAGATTACTTTATGCCTAACAGCAGTTTTCTGATGCAATTATTACTACTACTAAACCTGAGATATATGAATGGGATGAGTCTCTGTTTCATTTTCTGGTGCTTCACCATTTGCTCTGGATTCCTGAATCCACTGTTGTACCAAGAAAAAATGTAACACAGAGTCTTCCTTCTTTGGTAGAGGAATGATGTGTGTGTGGCACATGGGTTATGTGAGGCGGGGAGACTATTGAGAATCTAACAGGTGCAAAACACTGTTGGGTGCTTGGGGAGGTAAGAAGATAAAAAAGACCCCTTTCCTGTTTTCAAGAGCTCATGGCTTAGTAGGAGAAATAGGCATGTAAACAGCTGATTCTTATACTGGGGAAAATGTAAGAAGTGCTCTAAGAGAGTTACATGAGAAGAGAAGGGGTTGGAGTGATTAACTGAGCATATGGACACTTCATTCCATGCCCAATAAGCAAAAAAAATTAAAGTCCTTCGAAGGTCCTTAAAGCAGGCAAGTGGCTCTAATTCAGTTGCTTAACAAGGGTAAATATAAAGGCGCTAATCCTCTTGGTTTGCAGTGGAATAGGGAGGTTCAGATGCATCACCATCTCCTTAAGGCTGCTGCTGCAAGTTACTGGCAATGATTTCCTGCAGATCTTTTGCTTGCTCTCTCTCCCCCACTTGGCTGCTCCTGTGGAGCGAGAGGGGGGTGTACCACAGCTGGGGGCAATGAAAGCCAGGAACACCAAGAGAGTAGGCGTTTGGAACAGCAGCCCCAGGGCACCCAGGAAAAATATTTTTCCCCATATGTGGTCCTTTCAAATTCCCTGTACTATAGACACTACTTTGATTTAAAATGCAGTTTGCTTCTGTCTTGCCTTTCCTGTTTGTTCAGTGTATTTTTGCTCCTGATTTCTATTTCTCTGTATACATATTTCTTTTTCACTGATGACCAACTTTTCGGTGTGGATTTGTTTCAATAAGAAGTTCCCTTCTGCTCCCCTTTCTCCCTTAATTCAGCAAATTATATTAACAGATTTTCTATAGATTTTAGATGCCACTACCACCTCTCCCTCCAATACGTTGTTCTCAGCCTCTTATTAGCACATTATCTCTTTACTCTGCTAATTAAACATCTGGATGCCACTGAAAAGCTGGCAAAAATATCAGGTTGATTAAAAGAGCTCTCTGATGTCTGGAATTGGTGCATAACACACTAAACAATGAAAAACTGCTTTTCAAATAGGCAGTTGCTTTTATCTTACATTTTTATTGAATAGTGAATTTGTTATTATTGAGATAATATATGTGGAAGTACCTAGTGTCATGCCTGGAAAATATTAACACATTCACTAGACTGAACATTTATAGGTTTCAACCTGTCAATAACACAATTCTAACTTATTTTCTAAAAGAAATAGATTTAAAAAAATGCTAATGCCGAGATGATCTTCAAAACTGGATTCTAAAACTAAACATAGAATCAATGAACAGAAACTTTTCAAAAGAAACAAAATAATGGCCAGCAAACATATAAAAAATGTTCAACATCTCTAACCATTAGATAAATGCAAATCAAAACCACAATGAAATATCACCTAACCCCAGTGAGATTGGCCTCTATCAAAAAATCCCAAAACAACAAATGCTGGTGAGGATGTGGAGAGACAGGAACACTCTTACACTGCTGGTGGGACAGCAAATTAGTGCAACCTCTGTGGAAAAGAATTTGGAGATACCTCAAAGAGCTAAAAATAGAAATACTATTTGATCCAGCAATAGCATTATTAGGTATCTACCCAAAAGGGCAAAAGACATTCTATAATAAAGACATCTGCACCTGAATGTTTATGGCAGCACAACTCACTATTGCAAGGACATGGAAACAACCCAAGTGCCCATCAATTCATGAGTGGATTATTAAAATTTGGTATATGTATACAATGTAATATTACTCAATTATAAGAAATGACAGTGAACTAGCACCTCTTATATTTTCCAGTATTGAACTTGAGCCCATTATCCCAAGTGAGGTAACAGAAGATCGGAAGAATAGGCTCCACTTGTACTCGCCATCAAATTGGCACTGACTGATTAACACTATGGTGCTCACATGGTAGTAATATTCTCCAGGGATAAGGGGATTGGGGAGGATAAACTCACAACTAAAGGACACAGTGAGCATTGTGGAGGGGAAGGGCATGCCTCTAACCCTTGCTTGGGTGCGGCAAAGACATAAAATGTAACCAAAATGTCTGTACCCTCTTAATACCCTGATATAAAAAAATTGGAACTCACATTCTCATCTAGTTATGTGCTATAGATTTCAAGCTAATGTTTCGTATTTAATAATTGACTATTACACAGGACTGACCCTCTCAGACCTCTGTTTCTAAGAGAACAGCAAGGCTTTTGTTGAATCTAGAAAGACCACAGGAAAGCAGATCAATAATGGCATGCAACCCTCATATTATGATTCCTAGGTAAGGCCAGTACATTGGATAACACCCCATACAGTATGTCTAGACTGTTACAAATAAGTGCAAATGTCAGTCAAACTGGATGCGTGTTTATTATTGTTGTTGTTGTTTTCTATTAACAGTTCTTTTATTGTTCTGAATTGGAAGCTGTGGCACTCTACTGAAAGCCAAGATCAGGGTGTCAGATATGGATATATCAACTCTTAACTGATTTTGCTTTTAGGGCTTGTGCCCTTTAAAGGAATAAAAATACAATGTAGCTAAAAAGAGGGAGGTTACATTGTCTTGAAGGACTAAACATGGCATTCATTAATCCTAGCTTTGCCAACCAGTTTGGGACTATGCTCGTTGGCTCAATTGGTGCTGATGAAGATCAAGGACACTGGTTTATTTGCTATGTGATCAAGGCATCACAGTTAAACTTTAACCTACTTATGGTATGCTCTTGGTTGAAAGAGGAAGTGGATAAAGGAATATGAGTGATACAAGGGAAACCCATACTTCCCTAATCCTGAAAATGAATTTACAAATATATGTCCTTGGAGGACAGCACCCAGACTATCACTGATAAAAATGGACAGATAATTCATGGTACGTTATACAAAAGGATTTGGAAACACATATGGATTAGTTAATATTTGCCAGGCACTAGGTACTTCCCTATATATCATCTCAATGTATACCTATAAGAACCCTGTTAGGTAGACATATTCTTCCTCATTTCCCCATTTTACAAACAAAGAAGGGGATGCTAAATGTGTTTGCACAGTTAGAAGTAATCTGAAAGTCATATTAAACACATAGTATTATGACTGCAAATCACATATTTAACATTATCATCTAAGCAGTGAGTCTTACTAGTATTGACCTAGGTTGGGACTTCCAAATGCTTGACTATACATAGATATTTAGAGTACATGAAGTGGTTAGGGTCAAAAAACCAAACTACTTTGGCTCTAATCTTGACTTTGGTGCTTACAATCTATATGATCCTGGACAAGTCAGTTCAACTCTTGGATTCTACAGTTTCCTCATCTGTAAGATGTGGACAAAAAAAATAGCTACTCTGTAGAGTTGTTGCAAAGATTATACGCTGTAATCATCATAAAGATGAGATTGGGTGCATGCAGGGTGGTATGGTATGGCCATAGATTGAAGGACATTATGCTAAGTGAAATAATTCAGTCAGGAAAAATGCTCCATAATTCCTCTTATATAAGGCATCTAAAATAGTCATACATACACAAGGAGGCAATAGAGTGGTGGTTACCAGGGGATTAGAGGTGGGGGATATAGGGAGTTGTTGTTCAAGGGGTATAAAGTTACAGTTACAAGATGAACAAGTTCCTGTACAACACAGTATTTATGGTTGATAAGGTATCATGCACTTAAACATTTGTCAAGAGGGTAGATCCCATGTTAAGTGTTCTTACCACAAAAATTCCCCACCCCCACCCCCAAAAAACAAAGGGACTCAAGGAAACTTTTGGAGGTGATTGGATATGTTTACAGGTTTATTACCTTGATTATGGTGATGGTTAACAGGAGTATATACGTATGTCTAAACTCACCAAATTATTTACATTTATTTTGTTCATGGTTTTTTGTATACCATTTATACTTTTAAAAAGTTGGCAAGATAATCAAAGAGCTTAGCACAGTATCTACTATGTAGCTCGTATTTGATAAACGGTAGCTATTGTTATTATACCAAATTTTAGACTATATGGATTTCAAGAAGACTAGAGATAGAGCCCTAGAGGTAAATGCCAATGGTCTACAATGGCAAAGCATTCAGCTTCACTTTTATTGAA